AACAGAGGCATATGGAGTAGAGAACATACCAAAGGTTTCACCCTATCCGGGAATTGAACCCAGATCCACTCACTTGCGAGACGAGCGAACTAACAACTCCGTTACTGGACTCCACTAAATTAATAGAAGAGGAATGGAACTAGGTGTCTCCCTACATTACAATATGGTGCAACCTTAGATCCTGAATATAGCCTAGGTATTGTGCGTATAGTTCTCCTCTCTGACGGAGCACTCTGTGATGCAGTGTAATCATGTTTATATTCTAATGGTTGGAGGATTAGCTGTTAGCAATAGATTCCAGGATTTTTTCTATTATTTCCACCTCTGGGATCTGGGCTGGAAACCAGCCACAGTATTGGAACTGAGGTCCTCTGTCTTTAATAGCTTCAAAAGTCTGAATTAACGTGGAGTCCTGTAGCTCAGTGGTTAGACCACTTGCCTCGCAAGCGAGAGACCTGGATTCAATTCTCGGCAGGGTGAAACCTTGGGCAAGTTTCCTTACTCCACACACCTGATAATAATCCCTCAAGAAAAAAAAATAATAAATTGGTCACTTTAATCCACGACTGTTTGTGGGACACTGCTGTGCGCAATTGGTTGCCGAGTATTGCCCACAAATATACAGTCAATTCACTTTACATAATATTCTGTGAAGCGCTTTGAGATGTCTAGAAGGTCGTGAAAAGCGCTATATCAAATGCAAGGATTATTATTATTAACTGGGATGAATGGCCACCTTCTTGTTCCAGCCTACAGTGGAAGCAGTTCTACCGGATATCTCCACCACACCAAGTGGTATTAAACTAACATTGGTGGTCACAGAGGACATAAGATAGCTACTGTGTGAAATGTGATTCCCCCACTGTCGTGGCCTGACTGAAATCAGCCATCACACCTGGGACTATTTGGTCTGTACAGCGAAGTTCCACAATTAATTCACCAACTGAGACCTTAAAAGGAATTTTTATTTACATATTTTTGACACACTTAGTTATTTACTTACTTGCATTGGATTTTTTTTTGAAAAAGCAAAGAATTTTAAATGATAGCTTTGTGTAGCTTTCACATCACAAAGCAGAACTAAAGCACGCTATGTAAAATCAAGCTTTACTGAATTATTGGAACCAAAGAGTCCATGGGGACCAGCCCATCATTAATAAGGACCTGATTTAGAATTCTTTGTGTCACTAAACTGTAAGCTACCCTTCCATTGACCTGACCCCTGGGGAGTCGCACACAGACTCATTCTCCAGAGCATAAGAGACCCATAATAGGTGGGAGGTAACTTTGCTGTGTGATTATTCATTCTATAAATATTTAATAAGAGCATGGGTGCTGCTGAATATGACCTGAATAATCTAATAATGATACAGTACTTGATAGATACATGACATTACAGGCACTAGAATGACTGGAGGACACAAATGGTCAGTGCGTCTCTTCTCCTGGTGATTCTTAACGTGAAGAAACCCATTGGCCAACCACTTGCCTCCAGACGAGAAGTCTTTAGTGTTTGAATTCACACTGAATTTGAACAAATCTTCCCCCATCGATTTTGAGGGCTGCTTTGGCATTCACGTTATTAAAAGGCTTTAGGTCGGATGATAATTTAACACGATTTGATGGGTAGGAATTGTGGCTTTGAACAAATGAACAGAAACATGTGAGAACAGTCTGCAGCTAAAGATCCTGAGGAGGGTGAGTGCAGTGCAGGTCAGATGTCTTTAGTAAGTGCGGACTAATTGGATCTGAAGGATATTTTCCAGAGTCTGAAATCCTGGCACTCAGAACATTTGGTGTGCCTGCCTTTTCCAGGAACTATATATGTTACATGTTTTACAATGTGAGTGTGAAGCAAAATGAGATTTACTAGACTGAACAGTGGTTCAGTATTCTCACAGCCATGTGCTGCAGAACATTTGGGCAGCGCTACAATGTACAACTGATTTCATAACCGCATACCAATTCCTCAGCCTCACTCTGTATGTCTCCTTTTCAAGTTTTAAGTTATCCTCTTTTTCTCTTAATTTATCTTTACATGCTTAAAATATTCATATGGGTGCTTTAATCAGATCCTTTCCAGAACTTTGGCCTGATTAAAAGCTGAAAGAAGTAAACGTTTTGCATTGAAAAATTAAATCAGTTTCTAGCCAAGTGTTGAAATCAGTCAGAACTCTGAGACAAAATCTCTCTGAGGATTTGCTCCAGATGCCAATGTCAGAAAGGATTAATGAACATATTCTCTGGTCTGCGGACCTGAGCTGTACAACTTGACAACATGATTCTGGTCAGTTGGAAGCTAGTGACCTCCTATGGAGATGGAGACTGAAGCAGACTGAAGCGGATGTGAGCAGACATTAGCTGACGAGAACGAGTTACCTCTGCCCTCCACCAGCACCCTCTCTCTTCCGTACTAATTACTCCTCCAGAGGCAGTCTCCGCTGGCTCTCGCGTGCAAACATTGCATTCTCTGCCAAAACGCCTCCTGCCATAGAGAGGAAACTCCCACTGGGAGATTTCAAACTTCACCAGTGATGTTCTGTATTAAAGTGACCTGCTGTGTCATGTGAGGTTAGAGATACATTAGCCCTAGTGCACTCCTCATCATCAGAGGTCTCTTTGCTCGGCAATGCCCTGATTACTCCAGTCGCCATTTAAAAGTCAGTCGAAAAGAAAGCCCTTGGTTGTCTGTCATCCCATTGTCATTCGGCATTAAAGGTGCGACGTCTCTATTTGTTAGCCTGCACTTGTCAGTTTTTATACAATTCAAGATAAATCATACAAACCCTTCACTGAACACAGCTCCAGCCTAGATTGTGGGAAGGAGTCTTTGACAGATGCACAGTGGTTGATATAAAAGCCAGGCTTAGTATTGATGCATGTTTTTTTCTCACTGCAGATGGATAGACTATTGGAGGGTGTAATCTCATTTAAGATCTCAATGTCACACAATTCACAAGTCATATTATGTTTAGTGACGTATGAAATAATTCTGAAACACTTATCGTAAGTTTTGAGTTTTTTTTAAATTGAACTAAAGACAAAGGTGAAGAGCCAAGGTTCACAGTACAGGACACCCTGAGACTAAAGAAAAGCAAGAGAATGAGTGTGTGACATAAGCCGTGAAGCAGAGGTTAGGTGATGGGTTGCTTGGGTGTTCAAAGCTTGAACAAGAAATGGAAGTTTCAGATATGCAACCAAAAAGCATTACTGGACCGTCACATGAGGGAGCAAGAGGTGCAGGTTCTGTCTCTCTCTCTCTCTCGAGAAAAGTCTTCATTCACCCTGGAAATACAGCTGTGAGCTGAGATGTGTAAATTATACATTGAGCACAGCAGCTGATAGCGCTTGTGTGTCACAGGGGTCACTGAGGACACAGAGTGAGGTGATGGCTTGTACTGATTTCTATATCTTCAGTGACAGGTATAGGACCAACCGGGTATCTAGTAGGAAAGATTTATCTATTCAGTGCTCTATGCAGCAGAGAGCTCAAATTGGGTGCATTATAGGAGGGTTGCCTGTGGCATTACTTGGCAGACATATAAGGCCCGAATTTCTGCTTAATCTCAGCCTCTTAAAACTGTTCTGTCGTAAAATTTAAGATGGCACAGAAACGTGGAAAATTTTTGAATCCAGCCTTAACTTGGAAGCTGGTTCTTTTTAGGAACTAAGGAAGACCGGCTTCCAAATTAAGACTGAATTTAAACGTTTTCCATAATGCTATCAGATCTTATATTTTAAGACAAAATATCCTTATGAACAAAGAATAAGTGAAATTCCAGGTCTATATTCCTAGCTTTATATTCCCGTTGTTAGTCGATTGACGGATCGAATAATTCCTTCAAAAAATAATAATAATAATAAATTGGTCTCTTTAATCCTAAACTATTTGTTGGACACTGCTGTATGCAATTGGCTGCCGTGTTTCGCCCACAAAATATACAGTCAATTCATTTTACAGTATATTCTGTGAAGCGCTTTGAGATGGCTCGAAGATGTATCAAATGCAAGGATTATTATTATATATTATTATTATTTATATGCTCCCAAACCAAACTATTAGGGTAAAAGTCCACCTGAGCCTTGATTTACACTATTAATGTTGCATTTTCAAACAGCTCAGAATTTGTCAAATTCTTAAATACAGTCTTTAATCTTAAAGTTATTTTTCTGTACAATTCTTTTAAGGACTAGAAAAAAAGACTGGCTTCAAAGTTTTAAAACTGAACTCACCATTTCGGGAAATTCTGCATCCTCTAAAATGCTACGCGAATGGAGTAAATCTCGATCCAGGTGGAATTTCACCCGATATATTTAAATAAATGTTAAATAGATTATTTAATAGAGGACATGATAAAAGGTGCAATCCAAATTGTGTTGGAATTTGATGGATGTCATTTTTTAACTTGCATTTGTGAACAATCTTCAGGAATGAGAACACTCACTGATACTCCCCTTCCCTATCCAGAGCACTGAGACCAATTATAGCACTCCTCCCATTGTCTGGCTGATATTGACAAACTCAGCACAGAATGGGAGCTGTGTGGCTCAGCTACTCAGTGGACATATTCACTGAGCCATCAGAGGAACCAGGATTTCAATGTTCAACTGTATCCTGTAGGATGATTTGATGAAAGTCATAGAGACTTTTCTTTTATAAAGATGAGGGATAATGAGGAAGCAATCTCAGGGAGCACTGAGAAAAGCAACAATTCCCCATTTCTGTCACCCAGCATTGGCATATACCAATCCCAGACCAGCCACAGCTCATTTAGATACATCGTAAGGTTCCCTCTGCTCTGCCTCCTAACGTACCTCAAAACAGCCCCTTATTGCTCCCTAAATTGATCTCAATTCTTTCAATTCTCCAGAATTTCAATATTTCAGTGAGTTACAAGTTACAAAATGGCTTTTTTAGTGATGGTGCCACTAAATCTTTGATTGAAATAGTTGGATTGCCAGCTCCAATTCTTCATCTTCTTATTTTCCTTTCCATTTAGGCGAGGACAGTCTTTATGATGGGTATTCTGCAATTGTACCAGAAGAGGAGCCACAGGCTGATGCTGAGATGGGATCATTGTCTCTCAGTGCACAGGATCTTTCTTCACCTGCCACATCCATTGAAGACTTCACTCCAAAAGAGGGCTCCCCATACAAAGCTCCCATATACTTCCCTGATGACATTCCCATTCCAGAAGAATTTGAACTGCGCGAGTCAAATATTCCTGGTACCGGATTAGGAATATGGACTAAAAGAAAGATTGAAGTGGGTGAAAAATTTGGACCCTATGTTGGAGAAGAGCTATCAAGCCTGAAGGACCCTTTTCACGGCTGGGAAGTAAGTACCTGGTTTAATTTCTATGAGGTTTAAATGTCTTTCATTTGTTGGCGACGAGTGGTTGTGTTCTTGGACAATCCTGGTTTTCCAGGTTTTTTGTTGTGGGATAATCTTTTCCATGTGGTTGTTGTCTTGGGTCCTTCATTACATTGATTGTCTTGAGGTGTTAGCTTATTGGTGATGTTCCCTCATGTATGGAAATTTGGATGTTGGAGGATTTGGGAGTCAATTGGATTACTTGGTCTATGATGCAATGTACAGTGGCTTAAAGAGAATGCACCCTTTTGACTTTGTATCTTAATAGAAACTCAGTTCTACAAAACTGATCAACTAATAATGGTACACACAACATACAAATCTTATAATAAGTTAATGTTTAATTGTGGTTACTTCTTACTGAATGTACCCAGCAGAGAATTGTATGAAATCCATTGATCAATTAATTCTGTTTCCTTAGTGCTTACATTCAGAGCAGATTTGTTTGGCTGTTTGTGATAAATCCGCTGTTGGATTTTTCTTATTTTGTTGATCAATGACTGAAGCTCTCTGGTCAATGTGAAGCCACACCAACAAAACTAATCAACCACTAAATTGCATCTCAAGACTATTTGACTGGTAAGTTTAACCTTGTATACAAATCACTGTTGAATCAACATTGGTAATACCAGGGTTATATACTGATAGCTATGTATTCTTACACTAAAAATCAGAATCTTGTTTTTGAATGAGCACTTTACAGCACTGCGGGGTAGCATTTCATCTAAACGGCATCATGTTCAAGTGAGGCGATGACCTGCATTGCTCATTGTTGCTGATCAATAATAAAAGCTTTGCCAAAAGTTTTTTTTTGGATGAAAGCTGTGTCCCAGGATACAATTAAGCAAGATTCTATTTTTTAAAAGTGCTCGTCTTTTTTTGCCCAAGTGCCCATTCTTCATGCAAACATTGAGTGTTGGCAGGATATTTGACTGTTGCCAGTCTCAACACTTAGATTTTAAACCATACTGATTTATTATAATTTCTTCCCTTTGCATCAATAAAAACACAACATGGAATGCTGGACCATGTGGGTTTGGGGGGGTGGGGGTGTGACATGAACTTAGTCACATCATCCACATTGACTGTTCCATTTTGTAGTGGAGAGCAGATGTCACCTTGTCCAAGTATGCACTCTCCAAGTCCCTGAAGATGCTAACAGTCAGACCAGGCAAACTTAGGTTGGAGCTATCCCAGTGGCCATAATAATCTCTAATGTCCTGATCACTCGTGAGGGTCAAAGAAAATGTCACCTGAATCCTTAACCACAAGAACCACAAAGAGTACAGGCAGTGTGCAATGTTCGAAAGAGCAATTGAAGTTTTTTTTAAAAAAAACTGAAAAGGGGGGAAATATGAGCTGACTTGGGAGTCAATTGATTTGACTGGAGTGCAGTCCAGGCTCAAGCCATAAATTTTGCTTTTATCTCATTTTTTAAGGCCAGCATTGAGCATTATCTAATCAGGTATTGGTTAGTTGAAGTACAAATCGAACAAGCGGAGTCACAGGACAAGGGCAAAGGTCAAACCTTTTTGCAGTTTGTCACCAGGGTTTTACTGTTAAGTTGCTGTGATGCCAGGCTCGACGTGAGGTGCAGCCCAGCGGAGCAGTGATTGTAAAGAAAGAGAATCGACCACATCTTAATCAACAAAAAGGAGAGGGGGGGTGGTGGGGGAAGAGAAAATGCCTCAATAACCCCAGTGACTTGTTTATTTAAAGCGTTCATTTCAGGAGAGGCTAATTTCCTGGTACCTGCTGACCAGAATAAGGACAAGTTCTACAATGCACATACTTCAATCAGACACAGCACATTAACTAATCTGGTGACCAGTCACTGTTCACTATAATGTCTTTAGTATCTAAGGGATTCCAATCATACTGGGTCCTCTATTCCTCAGTACTGTTAATACCATTGCTTAGAAATTGCATAGCTAGTTTTACTGCACATTCCAGACACACCAATATACAATGTTTTATTTTCCTTCTCATTTTGTGTCGAGAACCACAAAAAACGGCAGTATCTTACTTATAGAGGCACACTCAGGAATGATGTACCTCAGGGTGATGGGTCTGAACCTGAGATTCATTCCATGATGGTGCTCCTGATTTTCAATGCATCTTCCTGGTCAGTTGCTGAGTGAGTCCAAATGCTTCAGCTCAGGACCAATACATGTATTAAATACACAACTTCTACAGTTTGTTGGAGACTTCTCATTTGCTCTATGGATTATGGAATAATTCTGCTTATATTCCTTTGTTTTCTCCGGGGAACATCTTCTGGGAAGCATTGGGTTGTGAATGGAGACCCAAGAGATGCCCAGAACAGTAGCTGTGAGAGGGCTACAGGGGAAGGGGAGGTGATCACTACTGGCCTCCGGGATATGTTTTAAAGGCTACTGATATGGTGTGAACATGGATTGACATGTGATCGGGTTTCGTGTGGAATTGCATGGAGCTGTAAGGCGATGGGTCTTTACAAGAACTGTCCACATAGTGAGTTCTGAAGCAAAAGGTTGTCTGATCAAAGATGGCAGCCCATGATTGAGGGGCGCTACTAGGTGACTAGGTAATATTATATGTTAACTGAGAGTTTTGTTGATAAGATAAAGAAAAAAATCTGAGATGGAGCCATATTTTAACCAACAAAAGAGCAAATATTTGCCGAGTTTAGTGGTGATTTTGTTTTTTGTGCTGTTAGAGCTGAGAAATGAAACATTTGAGGCATCCAGTGTCAGTGTCGGTAAGATACAGATTGAAGTGGAGCTGCAATATAGAAGCACATATATAACAGAATGTTTAAAAGTTATGCTTTTGAAGGAAGTTGGAAAATTTGTACACCAGGGGAAAAAGTAAAATGAGACATTTGAAAAAAAAGTCAGTAGAACACAGACAAAATACTTTAAATGTTTTTATGTTATTTCAATGTATTTTAGGCTTTATTTTGGTAGTTTGGGAGTTTCTTTTACATGAATAAATCTAGCCTACTTGTTTCACTAATTTTATGACTGTTAAAGCGTTATTTCTACTGTCACAGTGCGTGAGCTGAAACTACAGAAATCCTTTGGGTCTGGAAGACTAGATTTTCCAGGTAGTCTAGAGTCATTCATGTTATATTTGTTTTTATTTTTGTCCCCTCCTCTCCTGAAGGGGGCTGACTCTTCCTGGGGTATGGTTCAGTCACCATATGATACTTTAGACAAGCGAGCCTTCTTTATTCGTGGCCTTTGACAGAGAATGTTGATCGCAAGCAAAATCTATACTATCCAGTGGAGTAGTCCTGCAAAAGCAGGATCTCCCCCCAACTAAAGGGCGCTGAGCCAATTTGTGGCCCCAACTGTTTCGCTGGCTGAGATCAGCACTCTGATAATTTAATTTTAAAAAGTCTTTGCAAATTGTTCAAATTGCTTTCCACTCTGCCTCAGCTAGTGAAGTATGAACGGCGATGATGTCTTTCTCTGTGGCTCTCCGGATGTAGTTCCCAATGCTTAGCAGCTACCTGCCAACCTGCTACTCTGCTTATAACTCAATGTCTATCCCAGGAAATAAAATGATTTTTGAAATTTTTTATAGATGCTTTAATTTATGGTAACTTTACTTCAATGCACTTAGAGTAGTTATGAGACAGTGGGCCCCTGGGAGGAAGAGGGGAGATAAATATATTTGGACCTTAAGGAGGAGGAAGAAAGATAAGAATTGCCGAAGTCCTTGATATGCTTAATTGCTGCACTGACAGGGGCTATAATTCTTTCCATTAAGTAAATATGTTGTAAAAAATTTATTATGAAATGCCACATTATGCACAACCGATATTCAAAGAGGACTGTACAGCCAGCACTAAACACAGCAGATGCCATTAACACAGAACAGTCAATATGCCACCAAGACTTGGCTTGTAAAATTAAATTGATTTGGTAAATGTAAGCAAGATAGATCTGTTTGCTTTCATCATCCATTTTGGAGAGGAGAAGAGGTGATGTCACCAACCTGGGAGTGATAAAGATGATAGGCCATCTGGATAGCTGGCTGATGGATGGTTACTGTGTTTGGGGTTCTTGTGATACTGTGGTGCTGGGCCACAGGGGATATCAGCATTAGCAACTTTTCAATAATACTTTGATAAATTTCTCTACTTAAATAATACAGAAATGGTGACTTATGACTTTGATTGCCAGTATAAATAACCATAGTTTCAGCTGGCGAACCATTTCTTTTGGCAGGTTTTATTTCAATAATCCAACATCATTCAAAATTGTCGCTACGTTTCAGAAAGTGCAACATGTTCTCTTTAAGCAAAAGCTCCTCACCCATCTGTACTGGGAAGTGGCGTGGGGGGATGGGGGGTGGGGGGGCACATATTCAAGTGCATTTGTAAGCTTTGGCATCCCATCATGTGCACTCCAAGCTGCATCCTGAATTTCTGCTTTAGTGGCATTGTTTGACAATGGAGTGAATGACGGCAAAGGTCTGGGATCATCTGCATACGTTGCACAAAGTTTCAGTATTTCAATTTGTGTTGGTGTAAAACTGCAGCTTCAAGTGTTTTGAGAATAACTCCAGACCCACCTGTTATAATCCTTATCCTTACCCCATCTACTCTAGTCCACATCCCTGCCACACCTACTCTACTCCACATCCCTAGTCCCCCAACTACTGTAATTCTTGAGCACAGCAGCATTTGAAGCAGGTGCACTGGATGAGGATGGAGGAGCTTGTCTGGAGGTGCCTTAAATGGCTGAAAATGAGTTTCTCTTCTAACTGTGTGCTAAAGAGTAGCTGAATTATACTTCCAGGCAGATTTTTCTGATTATGCTTCTAACACGGTCATGACTGAGAACGGTGCTAAGCAAACCATCTGCTAGTTAGGAAGTGGGCTCAGTGTTGTGGGGTCACCTCCCCATCAGCCTTCTTCCTTTCTTGGTGTCCAAACCCACCATTGTCCAGCAGTCAGAGATGTTATCAGATGT